AGCATAAAAATGACAGAGTTTTTATTTCCCTGCTCTTTGAAACACAAAGGATGCTGGGTGAATTTAGATTTCTATGGAAGAAATCTGCATGTGGCTAATAATTCTATTCATAAGTGTGGCTACTTTGACAGATCATGGCTCAATAACAAACATGCAGGTCTAAGTCATCACACAGTTTAGATATGAATTCAACAGCAGAATAATGACAGTTGCCAAGGATTTGTACTTGCTGTCGCTTCATACCAGTGTTGGCTGTCAAAATGTCTCTTTTTCTTATACAGAAGCCATAGATTTTTTTATGGATAGCAATTACTTACAATATACAATGAAGTACATCAAATCTAACAACCACTCTTTAGCCCCTCATTACTTGGTAGTCTCTTTGTTAAATGTAGTCAACCATTTTCATCTAAATTATTTATTTATACTGTATATTTGACAAGCATATCTTTCTTGCTTTATATTCGTATGGCATTTAAACCTTCACGAAGAGTTATGTTTTTTTTTTTTAATATTGTCATTTGTAAAACTTATCTTTATCCTATTACCATTTTAATGGTAATTAAATGCTCTAATTGGAATAAATACAAATAAGAAAATGTAAACATAAGGGAAAATAACCCTAAGTACATTCAATAATAAATCACCAGCTTAAAATACTGAAATGCAACTGATAAAAGAAATAACCCCACCTATGTTTGGTGAATGTAACCTGCTATAAAATCTCTGGAGTACATAAAGCACAAAAATTTCATTAAACTTCATCAGAACCTTTTTCCAACTTGATGAAATGAATAACCTAAAGATATAAATAACTTTCTACAATTACTAGATAAAATGTGATTTAAACATCATAGAAAGTAAATAACAGAAGTGATAATAATAAAAGTGAACAATTCCCCCCAAATTTTATTTCCAATAGCAGAAGAAATTGTATTTCTAGTTTGGCCTAGAAATTTAGGTAAGGGTATCCCAGTTGCAGCACAATTTCCAGTTATTTTATAACACGTACTATGTCAAATTTTTACTTAGAACTTGATGATTGAATAATAAACAATGTGTTATGTTCAAGCCACATATATACCCTCTAGGAGCTATTCAACGTTTGTTAAATTGAACTTTTTTACTTTTACAGAAAGAAATTCTAAACAAGAAGAGCAAGTTCTCTGGGTAAAGGACCCATTTGAGTATAGTATCATCCCACCCAAAGGAAGAAAAGAATATTTGTGCTTATGCAAAATACAAAGGAATAAAAACAAGGTACATCTTAAATCTAAAACTGGAGGAGGTTACAGATACCATATACAATGTTTCCAGAGGAAATGTAAATCTTCCAAAGGAAACAATATAGTCTTCTAACATTTTAAAATGAAATAATACATTAATCTTTAGATCTGTAGAGATTTTGTTTTTGAAAAAAAATTTTGAAAAAAGTTATGAACTACGCCAAATGTAATTTGTTGGGAATGAAGGTAGAGCACTGAAGGTGTTTCCTTGCTTCCTTCACTGCTGCTATCTTCCCTCACTCCCTTCTGCTGCCCATTCCATGCTGGGAATGGACTGCTCGTCTTTAGAATGATGAAATTGCTAAACTTAAACTGTCCCTGGAAAAGGAAATATGACCAAATTTTTCTATTTAAAAAAGAATCTAAGATTCATTCCAATTAAAAATAGCCAAGATCCAGGGCACCTGGCTGGCTCAGTCAGTAAAGCATGAGACTCTTGATCTCAGGCTCGTGAGTTCAAGCCCCATGTTAGGCACAGAGATTACCTAAAAAAAAGAAGTAAAAAAATATCCAAGATAACTAAAATGACATAAAAAAGCGAATGAATGGTTTAGGTGCTATTCGTCTCCTTGAAAGCAAGATTTGTCTGTGAAAAAGCAACCCATACAATATATAACAAAAAGTTGTTGGTGATTCACTTTTAAAACTGATTTAAGTCCTGGGGCACCTGGGTGGCCCAGTCGTTAGGCGTCTGCCTTCGGCTCGGGTCATGGTCCCAGGGTCCTGGGATCAAGCCCCGCGTTGGGCTCCCTGCTCGGCAGGAAGCCTGCTTCTCCATCTCCGGCTCCCCCTGCTTGTGTTCCCTTTCTCCCTGTCTCTCTCTCTCTCTGTGTCAAAATAAATAAATAAAATCTTTTAAAAAAATTTAAAAAAAAACTGATTTAAGTCCTTATTTAATGCACTAAAAATAATTTCTCCCACAGGGAACTAAAAGAGTTGGCAACACACTCAGCTGCAAGCAGGATTAAAAAATACTGTAACTTTCTATTGTAAAAATAATGAAATTACATCCTTTGATGATCATCAGCTAAAAATCATTAAAATACTTTATGCGTGGGGTAGAAAGAGATACTAATTTTTTACAACATTCTCTTAATTTTAAAATGCAATTGTAATTTAGAAATCTTCTACTCAGCATTTGGAAATACCTTCTATAAATATGACAGAACTGTCCATAGATACCTGTTATCAATAAATAATTAATTCTGCCATCCATGTCTCAAAGGCTGGTGCCCTGTTCTCGGTCACCTGGGAATACATCAGACTATAGCTAGGTAGGAAAAGTTTCTTACTGTGCTGCTTTCCTGGAAATAGCCATAGGAATTAGGCTAGATATTTCCAGTTATCTGACCTCCTAGTGGTAAGTCATAACATGCGAGGATCAGACCTTCTTTGGCACAATACGTTGAACTCATTTACACTGTTGGTGATTAGTTTTCTTGCTGGGGGAAGGAACGTGGCACAGCAGTTTTCACTCTATTACAAACAAATACAACAGAGTGACAAAGGAAAAACATTGAAAGAACACAAGAGAGAGGAGAAGAGTGGATAATGTGAATACAATATAGAATAAATTAATAGCACTGGGTAATAACATGAGAATAAAGTGACCAGTCATTGTATGGCTTGCAATGAATGGATTTAATACATGTGGGCATATTTTGTAAAACGTACAGTGTGTTTAGTGAAAAGAAACATAATCTCTTGTGATATAAGTAAAGGAAAAACAAATTGACTATATTTTAATAATTATTTCTCATAAAAAGATCACAAAGACGTTGGAAGAAAGGTGGCAAGGAAAACAAGAATGAGACAAGAAACGTTTTAACCTCAATCAGGGGGAAATGTCTTTACTTATAGAGAAAATTGCCTCTCTCTGATAATCCTATTAATGCCAACCATTAGCCTTTATGAACCTGACCCCTTACAGGTTGAAACTCATCATTTTCTTTTTCATGAAAGTAAAAGATCTCTGGGCATTATCTTTGACTTTCCATTCAATTACCAAGAAAATGTTTACTCTATTTTCTAGGTGCATCATAATCAAAGTTGATGGTAACAGGTAATAGTGGCAAAAAAGAAGTCAGGATTCAGACAAAGAAATATGAGTAGCACATTGAAATAAACTATAAAAAAAACAGATGATAGGAAGGTGTCACATGAAAAGAAAGACTGACATTAAAAAAGGACGAATAAGGCCAGAGTTAAAAAGAATCAGAATCAAAGAAAGAAAATGAGAAGAAAGCAGAAACCGTATAAATGAAATTATAGTTAACTCTAACAAAAAAATAATCTAAAAATACACAAAAGATAGTTGGAATAAAAAGCACTTTTTAAAAGGAAAGTTGATAAAAATAAATTCTAAAGGGAATAAAAATGTGTAAATACACATTATATTAGCAATGGCATTTGTAGAAAGGAATACTTAAAAATCTTATTTAGAAATTGTTTCCATTGTCTTATTGGAAAGAACACTTTCATGAACAACTTACATCTCTACAGTATAACTATACTGGGTAATGATGTTCTAAAAAATTATCTAGGCATATAGCTAGTACACTGGGTAAATAACCTCAGACACTGCTAATATGGACTCAGAGGTCAAAGGAATAAAGCAAAACAAAAATTAGCTAAAAGTCTAGATTTCACTTTCACCTAAATTTACTAACAAACAAAAAACAAACCGCTTTAAGATATAAATGTAACCTGGCATTTTTATAAGAGATTAACATAATTCTTAATTTATTAATATTTTCTTTAATGCTCTTATAGTATATATTTTCTATCTAGCGTTAAGACTATGACATCACATTTAGCCATTCCATAGTTTATCAAAACCTGATAGGGGTGCCCAGGTGGCACCACAGTTGGTTAAGCATCCAACTCTTGGTTTCGGCTCAGGTCATGATCTCAGGGTTGTGAGACTGAGCCCTGCATCAGGCTCTGTGCTGGGCATGGACCCTGCTTGGGATTCTTTCCTTTCCCTCAGGCCCTCCCCCACCTCCTCCACCCCCTCCCGGTATGCTCTTTCTAAAATAAATAAATAAATCTTAAAACACACACACAAAGACACACACACACACACACACACACACCTGGCAGATACTTTTTCATCCTTCACTTTCTAATGGAGAAAAAAACACAGGAAAAATACCTCTGTCTCCTCTGCTTTGCATTTCTGAGAAGTGTGGTAAGATAGTAGGTAAAAGTTCTGGCTGTGGAGTTAGATCCACATGGGTTCAAACCATATGTTCTATACCTACAAGCTCTGTGATCTTGGTCAAGTTAATTAACCTATCTAGGTCTTTGTTTCTTCCTTAGTAAAATGGAAATGTTTAAATACTACCTGCCTTATATTCCCCCCAAGGTTGTTTGGAGAACTAAATAGACACAATGCAGGTTAAGTGCTTAGCATGGTGAATGGCATAGAGCAAATATTATCTGCCCTGCCATTATCATTTTTATCATTATGCTACTGTCCAAGTCAAACTCCAGGGATAATTTCTGTTTATTGCATCATCTACCTTTTTTCTTCCCATAGAGTAAAAGAAATTGAAGGGCTCTAATCCAGGCAACAACCTTCATAGCCCATCATATCTCCAAGTTATTATTGACATCATCTCCACAAAATATTGAGCATTTACATAGACAACTTTCTTTAAGCACTTTATCTCCTTCAGGATTCAGTTTAAGCTGCTGAAATAATATTCTTACCTTGGTAAATCTTTTGAAATACATTTATAAGTTGGGTGAATGGTATTTCCACTGAAGGTGCCTTCAGCATTGCTCTGCGGTGATACCTCCATGACGATAGTCAAGGGTGATAAAGAAGACTGAGAAAGTGATGCTCCGTGATCATCTGTTTCTCTTTTTGCCATTTTCAGCTAAAAATGAGGAAGAATTTTATTTAATTTAAAAGATAAAACTCTCCAGGGTTATAAATTGAGGCTGGGCATTAATCACAATTTATTTCTCATCATGTTCTAGACTATGCAGCAGTTGCTAAATGTGAGATCTGATGATTAAAAAAAAAAAAAAACAGAGATGAAAGCCTAAAGGAAAACAAAAGTATGAATCTAAGTCTTTGAACGGTATAATCCTGGGGCACCTGGCTGGCTCAGCCGGTAGATCATGCCATTCTTGATTTGTGAGTTTGAGCTTCATGTTGGGTGTAGAGGTTACTTTTTTTTTTTTTTTTTTTGAGAGAGAGAGAGAGAAGAGCAGAGGGAGAGGGACAAGCAGATGCGGGGTTCGAACCCCCGATCCTGAGATCATGACCTGAGCTGAAACCAAGAGTCTGACGTTTAACTGACTGAGCCACCCAGGGGCCCCAGGAATGCAATTTTAAATAGGTTTGTCAGTATAGGCCTCACTGAGGTGATAAAATCTTGGCAAAGACTTGGAAGAGGGTCTTTGTTGTCTGCAGTTGAATCTAATCCCGAAACTCCTGACATTCCTTGAACTAAACTGCTTTCCAGAAAAGCAAGTTAGCTAGTTAGCAAGTTGCTAGACTTATTGTTAACTAAGCATATGGAAGAATGAAAGAACTATAATATAATTTAAACTCACAAGTATTATGGATAAATACATACCTATAATACATAAGATCATGTCTTTCTCTCCCACTTTCTAGTTATGGGACCATGAGTATTATAGCCTTTCTGTGCTTTAATCCTCCCATTTGCAAAACTGGTTATCTACATGGTTATAAGGATTAAATAAATAAAATGGTGAACATGAAAGCATCCAGCACAGTGCTTGGCATATGATAGACATTCATGAAGTGTTAGGTGAATTTGAATCTATATCAAAATAAGAAAATGTATCTCTTTCTCCATACTTTAATAAGGAAAGGTGCTATTCTTTGCCCAGCACTCCTCTGGTATTCCAATTGAAGACCAAAGGGCTGTTGGCCTTCACACTACCCCTCTCCCTTTAAGCTTCTCACAGCAGGAGGAACAAGGTTCTCTCAGGCTTCTATAACAACCACTGTTTGTTCAGGTCCTTCATAGGTTGAATCTTCCTAATTGAGGAATGCTTATAAGTGAAAAACTCTAGCTGTGTACAGCAAGGCAAAATTATATGATTACAAAGTAAATCACCTTGCAGAATGAAATTGTTTGACTGCCCTGGTGTGTTTATTATATAGTCCAATTATTAAAAACTAAGAAAATTTGCATCAAACTATAACTCTTGAAATATAGAAATAGTTTTACTTTTTACTTATGCATGATTACAATCCTAATCTTCACTAAAAGAGGCAATCATTTGAGTGATGGTATAGTTTTACTTTCCATGTAAAATAGTTTCAGGATGCTTTTTGGTGGAATGAATTATATAAGTGTGAAATCACTACCATTATTAAATGCAACATTTCTTCTATAATGTTACTATAAAAACAGTGTTATCCTCACTAAAAGTAGAACATATAATAGGTTAAGTAGAATATGCAGAATAGAATAAGTTTGCAGATATCATTCATGTACATTACTAATTAAATGAAAACTAATTGTTAATTAGAGATTAAAGAAATAAAAATGTGTTAATTTTAATTTGACTGACACTACTATGGTATTTTAGTGAAGTACAGGTAAAGGCACTGCCTTGGGCGCCTGGGTGGCTCAGTTGGTTAAGCGGCTGCCTTCGGCTCAGGTCATGATCCTGGAGTCCCTGGATCGAGTCCCTGGATCGAGTCCTGCATCGGGCTTCCTGCTTGGCAGGGAGTCTGCTTCGTCCTCAGACCCTATCCCCTCTCAGGTGTTCTCTCTCTCTCATTCTCTCTGTCTCAAATAAATAAATAAAATCTTAAAAAAAAAAAAATAAAGGCACTGCCTTATGTTTTATTAACACATGCATAGTTTATTTACTGACACACTGAAAAACCACTATTTTTTTTACTTCCATCTCTTAATCATTTTACATGAATAGAAGCTCTCACTCATGCCCACCCCTAGATCTGCTCTTCCACCCTTTTTTTAAAAAAGGCATTCAAGCACACAGTGGTTATAGGCCTGGACTCCGGAGCCAGAGTGTCTGGGATTATATCCCCACTGCCCACTTACTAGCTGTGACACTTTGGACAAGTCACATAACATCTTTCTGCATCAGTTTCTTCATTTGTAAGAAAGGGTTAAGAATAGTAGCCACTTCATAAAGTTGATGTGCTCACACATAGCAGGTAAAATGTGTCAGCTACAGGGCGCCTGGGTGGCTCAGTTGGTTGGGCGACTGCCTTCGGCTCAGGTCATGATCCTGGAGTCCCGGGATCGAGTCCCGCATCGGGCTTCCTGCTCAGCAGGGAGTCTGCTTCTCCCTCTGACCCTCCCCCCTCTCATGTGCTTGCTCTCTCTCATTCTCTCTCTCTCAAATAAATAAATAAAATCTTAAAAAAAAAACGTGTCAGCTACAGAAGAGAAAAGGTTTGATGGTCTTGAGGTTGGGGTACTAACTACCAATAATAAAACAGTACATGGGGCTTTCCAAGGGGCAAGTAAGTGTGGATAGTTATAAGCAAATCAATGTCCAGATCCTTGCCTTCCATATATATGCTTTCTTAAAGAAAGCCTAAAAAAGACTTTCAAGCATAAAAGATAAAATTCTGTAGAAGAAATGCAGTGGAAATAAAAGTTTGCGGAGAGGGGCACCTGGGTGGCTCAGCTGGTTAAGTGTCTGCCTTCAGCTCAGGTCATGATCCCAGGGTCCTGGGATCGAGTCCTGCATTGGGCTCCCTGCTCAGTGGGAGTCTGCTTCTCCCTCTGTCCCTCACACTGCTCCTGAGCTCTCTCTCTCTCAAATAAATAAAATCTTTAAAAAAAAAAAAAAAGAAAGAAAGAAACAGCTGTACTTTAAAACTAACCAATGAGAAAAAAGATGTGAGCACACACATGCATAAGCTCCATGTCATCGCCTACCCAAAAATGTACCCAGGTCTCTAGATCTAACTTCTAGTTTGTGAGAAATACTGGAGGTAGAAAAACGTGTTAAATGACATTACACTGAAAATAAAGATGGAGAAATGTTACAGGTGAAAAGAGACTAAGAATTATATCAACCAAACACAATTCATAAACCTTGTTTAGATCCCAATTTGAACAAACTAACTTTTTTTTTTTTTAGATTTTATTTATTTGACAGAGAGAGAGACAGCAAGAGAGGGAACACAAGCAGGGGGTGTGGGAGAGGGAGAAGCAGGCTTCCTGCAGAGCAGAGAGCCCAATGCAGGGCTCAATCCCAGGATTCTGGGATCATGACCTGAGCCAAAGGCAGACGCTTAACGACTGAGCCACCCAGGCACCCCAAACAAACTAACTTTAATAAGACAAATTTTTGAGGCAATTGTTGACATTTAAACACAAACTGGGTATTATAGATACTAAGGAAATTATTTTATTGGGTATGAATAAATGGTATTGTTATATATATTATCTGTTAAAAATTTATTGGGCATATTTGTCTTCATAAGTTATTTGCTATTGGGTACAACACTCAGTTTTGGATATTATGGGTAATGGTATTATGGCAAATAGGGGTGCCTGTGTGGCTCTGTTGATTAGGCATCTGTCTTGATTACAGCTGGGGTTGTGATCTCAGGGTTGTGGGATTGAGCCCATGTCAGGCTCTGCTTGTGCTCTCTCGCCCTTCCTCTAAATAAATAAATAAATAAATAAATAAATAAATAAATAAATAAATAAAATCTTTAAAAAAAAGGCAAATAAAATAACAATTTTATGCTTGTGATTTAAAAAAATGTATTATCTGTTAGAAATACAAACCAAAGTGGTTTTTTTTAAAAAGATTTTATTTACTTATTTGAGAGAGAGTGAAAGAGAGTGCGGGCGCGCGAGGGGGAGGGGCAGAGGGAGAGGAGAAGCAGACTCCCCGCTGAGCAGAGCCTGTTGTGAGGCTACATCCCAGGACCCTGGGATCATGACCCGAGCTAAAGGCAGATGATTAACCGACTGAGCCACCCAGATGCTCAACATTTCTTATGAGTGTCATCATCCCATTTGTTTTTTTATCTTGTATAGCAGAATTGAATATTCAAACTCACATTATATGGTGCTTCTAGTGGGCTGGAGATAGAAGGAAAGGAAAGCACTCATGTGGAAGAAAGATATAAAGCAAGAAGACAAGAAGTATGGAAATACCATCATCTTAAAAGGCTTCACATCTGGTAATTCCACTACTGGGTATTTACCCAAAGAAGACACTAATTTGAAAAGAAAAAATGAAGCCCTATGTTTATTATAGCAATTATTTACAATAGCCAAAGTATGGAAGTGTCCATCCATAGGTGAATGGATAAAAATCTATCCATAGATTAATGGATTAAAATATGGAATGGATATTACTTTATATATATATATATAAAGGAATATTACTCAGCCATAAAAATGAATGAAACCTTGCCATTTGCAACGACATGGATGGACCTAGAGGATATTAATGCTAAGTGAAATCAGTCCATCAGAGAAAGAAGAACATATGATTTCACTCATATATGGAATTTAAGAAACAAAACAGGGAGGCCTGGATGGCTCAGTCAGTGGAGCATGTGACTCTTGATCTCGGGGTCATGAGTTCAAGCCCCAGGTTGAGCATGGAGAGTACTTAAAAGAAAAAAAAAGAAACAAAACAAATGAACAAAGGAAAAAGAGTCAAACAAAAATACAGACTCTTAAATACAGAGAACAAACTGGTGGTTGCCAGAGTGAGGTAGGTGGAAGTATGGGTGAAAGAAATGAAGGGGATTAAAAGTACAGTTAACTTGATGAGCACTCAGAAATATATACAATTGTTACATCATTATAATGTAAACCTGAAACTAATCTAACTGTATATTAATTATACTTGAATTTAAAAAAACATTACTACTTACATTAGC